TTCTCTGAGCGCTAACTCTACACGTGGTTCGCAAAGAACAATTTAGGATCCAACATATATACATATATATATATATATATCTTATTATAATTTGAGCAGTCTATTAATGCATGGTTTGTCTTCTTTGGTAATTGAAATTCAATTATTTCTTATTAGTGTTGATTGCCACAGAAATTGGCTTGTTTTTTAAACCAATTCTCATGATTTTAATTTCTCAAAAGTTATAATATTTTATCCATTCAAAATCCTAACTTTATAGCAAAATTTCATGCTTATTTACTTATATTGATATTTATTGTGAATTCAAGTCAGATGGTTGAAGTGGGAATGCATCGAGCTTATTGTGTAATAGAAAACACCCCTTAGACTTGAAAGCAAAATTTTGTAAGATGTTGGTGGGACCTGCAATGTTTTATGACCCAAAATGTTGGCCTATAAAAGTGAAGCAAAAAAACCAAGTTTGATGTTGCTGAGATGAGAATGCTTAGGTGGATGACTGATTTTACACTTAAAGACAAAATGTGAAACAAATATACTTGTGAAAGTGTTGGTGTAGCTCAATGACAGAAAAGATTAGAGAGGGTCGTCTTAGATAGTTTGTTCACATTAAACGTCGACTATCTGATGATCCTGTTAGGAGTGTAGATATTTTAGATTTGATTTGTATTAAGAAAAGTAGAAGTACAATTAAAAAGATTTGGGCACGTTGTATAAAGGAATGATTATAATTTATTAGAAATAAATGAAAATATGGCACTAAATAGAACACAGTGGAGAAAAAGGATTCATGTAGGAGACCCTACTTTGTGGGATAACAACTTGGGATTCATGTAGGAGACCCTACTTTGTGGGATAACAACTTGTTGTTGTTGTTGTTGTTGTATGATAATTTAAAAACAAAGTTAGCTCACATGAATTTCTTGAAACTCATTAGCTGCTTCGATGAGGATAATCCTTGCCTTCAACATCTGTAAATTCTTGGTGATCAGAGACTAAGTTGTCTTCACATTGTGTGATAAATAGTGATCCTTTGTTGTGGATGTATTTTCCCTAAAATATTTTGGCTTTTTGCTGACATATGTTCACATTATTAGAAGAGTTCATCAGATGTAATATAGCGTTTAATTTTTGGCCTCTCATTTTTCATCACCTTAATTGATACCTTAAGGCTAAGCATTTATTTATTTATTTATATATTTATTTTTTTGTGTTTAGAATGGGTTAGCCTCTACATTAAGACTTTAGGTAATCATTTTTTTTTTTTGATGAAAAATGAAATTATAATATATACTATTTTCATCATCTACTAGTAATCGAACGTATTTTCATCTTAAATTTGAAGCCTTCCAAGTGCAAAAATTTAATATTTTTACATACATTTTAACGACGTGAGATTGAATTCAATACGATTACATTTTGTTATAATGTTATTTTCAAATTGAGCTCTTTATATTAATTTACTGCTCATTTAAAAAAAATCACATGATATTATAAATGGAGTCACCATATGTTGAGTTTACTCGTGGAGAGAATATTATGTGTGGTCATCCACACATGCAAATTAGCCCACGTAACGATCATCTGCATGTAGTGTTTTTTTTCATATTCATGATAGAAGTCCGAAAAAATTATTATTCATAAAAAAGGTTAATAATTTAACATTAATCAATTTTTTTGCTCTAATATTTATTGTCAGAGAATGATAAGGAACAAAAGTGAGTCAAGCACACCAATAATCATATATATATATATATAGTAAAACTTTAAGTTCAAAGTGTAGCTCTTACCTTGGTGAAAATAAAAAATTTTAAGTTCAAACTGTAGCTCTTACCTAGAGAAGATGAAATCCAAAGTTCCTTTACCTTAAAATCACCTCAAATCCAAGTAAATGCAAGTCCTAGGTGCAAAAACCGATAGTTGAAAGTGACTCAAGGGTAAAAATGGCAGTTTACAATGAAAATGGTGAATTTTAAAGGGTTAAAGGCTGTCCCCGGGTAGAGGGCGCTGTCGGCGCCCATGCTAGCGCCGTCGGCTCCATTTTTTTATTTTTTCAATTTTCAATTTCTTTCAATTTTCTCAAAAGTCTTTTTTAGCATTTTTTTAAACATAATTTTTATCTAACAATAATTCACAAACAAACATTATCACAAATAACACCAAACAAACTTTTATATATGAAAATACACTTTTACAAATAGATTTTTCTAATCATAATTTCACACATATTAAGCAAACTAATATATAAATCAGTGTAAAAATTAAGCCACAACACTAAACACTGATAGAAAACTATACACATAATCAAAGTTCAGAATTCTAAAGTAAGCAAACTAAATCAAATCCACACAATCACATTAAGTAAGTAAGTATTTTAAACTAGTAGTGAGTCCAAATTCTTCAATTATTCTCCTTCATCTTCAATGCTTTCTCCTCCTCTAATATTTCTCACAGACTGGTAATGAACGTACAGATTTTAGAAGGGTCGGTACGGGAGCCGATCTTTATATATATAACAGCAATAAATGGTCAGAAATTAGCTTCTAATCCAACTAATTTAGTGTCTTACCCAAATTTAAATATCTACTGATTGAAAATATCAAATTTCAAATTAGTGCTCGAATAATTACATAAAAACTACAAGAATATAGAAAGGATATAGAATAATACTAACTCAATAGTAAAATATATCAAAAAAATCCAAAAGCCAAGAGTGAGAAAAACAGACTGCACAAGACCAAAGCCGGAGCCAGCAGCTATACAGAGCCCCGACCAGACCAGCGAAAATTGCACCGAACCTGCAAGGAATGATTCAAAATATTACACCACAGCTTATTAATAACATAAAATTAAAAAATTAAAATCAATTGAAAATAAAAATAATGGCTAAAGTGCAGGGGAACCCATCCCTAATAACTTACCGGAAAATAACAGGGTTCATATTGTTTTGGCAAATGATAAAAAAATATATTCTTAATTTTTTTTTGGAAGATTTACGTACATACCACCTAATTCTTGTGTATTTACATACCTAACATCTAAACTTCATTTTCTATATATATATATATATATATATCCCACTTTACCTATGCATTAAGAAAGGTGTATTCCACTTTCAAGTGAAAATAATGATATTTTTGATATGATGTTAAAGATTTGGATGGTATAAATGCAAAACATAAGGTTGAGGTGTTATAGATGACTAATTCTTGTGTATTTACATACCTAACATCTAAACAAGGTTGAGGTGTTATAGATGCGTAAAAGCATAAGAATTAGGTGGTGCGTATGTAAATGCCCCACTTTAGTTAAGCAGCTATGAGAAGAAAAGGTTAAGTAGCATAGCTGAGAACATTGCCACACCTAAAGCAGTCAGCTTGCGTAGCAGCATCTAGAGTTCATTTCCTAGCTTAGGAAATCATGGTTTTCTAACAACTAAAGATGATCACTGGAGAATAATAAAATACTAAATTGGAGACCGAGACAATTAAGCAAAATACAAAATCTTTTTTTGGGGGGCAGGTTGCTAAAACTACATTCATATTGTTTGGTTCCTATATCACAAGTGAAACCGATATGAACAAAATCCGGAGAAATAACACAAGAAACACTGAAAAACAAAATGCAGGGTGCATTACAGTTAGCCAACTCGAGTATGGTCCAAAAGCAGAAGGCATTCTAAAGCATAGGAATCCGCAAAAGTATATTGCAAAATGTGTCATCCTAAAGAAAGAAGAGATCAATGCACCTGCTGTGTCAGATGATTTCAAGAAGCAACAATAAACAAGCTTATCGCATGGAATAAAATGACTCTTAATCAGGATTCTAATCCATAGATGGTCATGAAAATCATGGCAGAATATTCGTATATCATAGCACTATAATAGACATTTACGCTGGAACTAACGTCATTTAATATGGCTAAGAATTGTGTATGCCCTTGTTTTTTTGTGATACCCATAGTTCATTAATTTTGCTGCATCTACAAGCTCTATTTTGAAATGGAACTCTTTCCTAATATGGAAATTCAAAATCGTAGAATGAGCGTGGAAACATCTCTAGAACACACTTTTTCAAAAAAAACCCTTTCAAGTCATTTTTAAGATGCTCTACAATTTGCATAGAGTATTGCAATCACATTTTCAAAACATTTTTTATTTCTTTTTATCAATATATTTGACTTCTGATATAAAAAAACAAGACATAAATTGTTCACATGAATGAGTCATGCGGCATTATCAACAGCAAGATTAACATCAGAACCTGATTGAATTGCCGCTCCACAATGTGATTGATATCTTATCAGCCCCACATCGCGAGATTTCTTACTTGTTTATAAATTCTAAGGAGAATTATTTCGATTCCTAATACCAGCCTTTATTTATTTTTATTTTTTTTTAAAGATGTTTATTTTTCTTTTATACTGCCCAATTTTAAAATTGATCTGGTCACTACATGTAATAGCAAATATATTATCATTACAATGGTCACAAGCATGCCATGAGCATTTGCTAATAATTATTGCTGAGAAGCATATGATAATTTCTTTTATAAACGTGTTATTACTATATGTATACAGTGTAGTTAAATGCAATTTTCAACTAAAAGGATAATATTTTCAGACAACCAATTTTTCAGTAACCAAATGCTATAAAAAAATAACTAATTGAGGGAAGAAACAATAGATAAAACAAGATTATTTGAAAAAAAAAAATGTCTAAACAAGACTAAAGCTATTAATTGAAACATACAAGGCTAAAAATAAATGAAGTTCTGCTCAATAATTTTAATAAATCCCCAACAAATTTATAATATAATAAGTTCTATGAGATCTCCCCATATTGTCGACATATAATGAGGGCTGAAAGGTAAGATATGGTAACCCTCGCCAGCTTCCATTAAATGTACTGACAGGCTCAATCTCCCCAGTTTTAGTGATCAAGCACTTAATACTTCAAGCATGAGGTTTTATATTTGTTCAAATTTCAAAATTATAGAAGTATATGTCATTTAATTTTCAAAAATACCATTATTCTTATCCAAGTTAGGATATACATTAGGACTAGGGCAGTAAATGAGCCGATCTTGAGCGAGCTCAGGCTTGGCTCGTGTTAAACTCGTTCAAAATTAATTGTGTTAGAAATTAACTCATGTTTGAAAATGCTAGTGAACAATGTGTTTATGTTCGGCTCAATTTACACATTCTAGTTTGTGTTCAACTCAAAATAGCTCTAGAAAAATAAATGTAGGGTGTTGGATTCGAACCTGCATCATTTCTATGCAATAAAAATAGTATAATCACATTACTACACAAGCTATGGTGATTTAAACTTAAATATAAATATATATAACATATTAATATATAAATAATATATAAAACTTCCTCATTTCGAGCTAAAAAAGAGCCGAACAAGGTCGAACAAAGGGTTGTTCGTATTCGACTGGTTTATAATTAGAGCTTAAAAAAATTGTCTGTGCTCAGCTTGCTTACCTAATGAACGATTTGAAACAATATATGTAACGACTCGAACACAAGCTGTTTCGAACTACGGGCTTTTTTGACAACCCTAATGAGGACATCATGATCATGTGATAACTTCAAAGTTTAATGTTTTTTATTATACAATAACTTATCTACCCAATTGTGTAGATCATATTCACATATTTACGTATTCTAATGTGCGGAAGAGTAGCAAGAATGAGCAATAAATGGCTATGAGGGAAGTATGTATTGATGAAAAGATGCTAGAAAAAGAATTAGCTAGTTTTAGCATTAATGAAAGATATAAGATGTGCAACATTAAGGCCATTAAATAAAGTATGCAAAAACTACCAAAAAAGAAGAATATAAAATTAACATGGTTAGAAATTGAAGGGGGAAAAAGGACAAAAAGAGGTCACAACATATGTAGCAGCCAGTAATGCTCAATTGAAAAGAAAAATTAATAAAGGCCATCCCAAAATAATTATGAAAAGTTAATGATGATGAAAGTCTAGTTATTAATGTGTTGCTCATCATATCTACAAGATATGTTTGAAAAGGGCAAAAACATGCTTATATAAGCCTATAAGTGATTGGAGCTTCTCATCTCAAGCTTATATCTTTAGTCAATGCCCCCTAAACTTAAAAGTTCAAATGCATGTTTGTGCAACTTGCGCTACAATTTTGTAAACAAGGTTGTCGAAAGCACTGTTCAATCAAAAATATTCAAACTAGCCCCCTCAATCTTCGCCCTTGATGGTCACGATGCTTGCTAGCATGCATTGCTATCTGCCGCAACCTACAGTAACACACAAACTTCACCCTCCCATTGACTTGTAGCCCACAACTTTCATCCTCAATCTACAGCAGCCCTGAACTCCATCATCTCGAGTCGCAACCTTCTCAACCTACAACAACCGATCGTCTTGACCTCAACGATTATAATATTTTTTAACAATATTGTGTCAATACTCTCAAAGCAAATGAAAAAATAAATCCTATTAAACTCAACTAATGAAGAAGAAGTTATAACAAAGGTTAATTGAATAATATGATGGATTAACTAGGATCTATGACATATGATTTATATATATATATATATATATATATATATATATATAAATCATTTTCATCGTTGTCATGCATGCAATTTTTCCTTTTATAATTACAAACAAATAAATTAATTAGATCTATGGCACATATGTAATGGAATTTATAGATATGGCCGATCCAAATGTGAGGAAGAATCTGAATTAAAGATAAGGAAGTCCAAACCAGAGTTAAATACTCTTTGCCAAATATGTATTTATTATGATAAAGAAACAACCCGATTACGTGTTGAGCCAACAAGTATCATACTAGTCCTTGTAAAGCATATAATGGTATTGTGACTAAATGTTCATTTGGAGATAAAAGAAGACTTGATTGCTCATTAAGAAGAAAAAAAAAAATTAAACAAAATTTATATACGGAAAATAATAAGGGGAAATAAAGTACTAAATAATTAGATATTCAAATATTATTGCATTGTTAAAAGAGATCATTTAAATTAAGTTTTAAAACATGAAGTATCAACACAACTAACATTGTCTTAAGACTCCATAAGATGAAAAATCCTATGGATCATTTCCTACATTAGAACCTAAGGGAGAGATCAAGAGAAAAAAAAGGAAAAATTCAAGAAAAATGAGAACCACGGAGAACTTAGATAAGGAAATAAGTAATAGGACCATACAATACATAGTTCAAGGGAAATATAAGAATGATTCAAAAAAAATAAAAAGACTACGTTGAAGATGAAGAAATTCTACTCGAAAGGGAAAGAAACTATTTGAATGAAAAAGAAGAAGATGATCAATGAATCCCAAGAGCTTATTTTATGAAGCTTGAGATTTTATGCAATTTTATAGTTTCTACGTTTTGCAGCAAACTATTACACTAGTTTTAATCTTATTTTTAATTTCTATGCATGATAAAAACTAAAAATTGAGAAAAATCTCAATTTACAGGTTCATTTTCAAAGCTTATCTTCGAATTAGTTATGAACATCACATGTATCTTCAATTTTATATAAAAATTTAGGTAATTTATTAAATAATTCATGTTTTTACAATTGTTATTAAATGTATCATTATAATTACTAAAAATTATTACCAAATTTGTTCCGAGTTTACTTAGATAAATATATACATTATATATGTACTTTTTGTAAGTAAATTTAAATGTTCTATAATTTTATAAGTTATTTTGAAATGCTCTACAATTTTGTTAAGTTTTTTGAGCCCTCCCATTGTGTAGTTTGACTAGCAATCAATG